GGGGAGGCAGTTAGATGTCATGCCCGGGGGGCAAGTTTTTTTTTTTTTTTTATTATACACTGGCCTTTCCCCACCAAGGGGGGTGGCCCGAAAAGAAAAAACTTTCACCATCATTCACTCCATCACTGTCTTGCCAGAAGGGTGCTTTACACTACAGTTTTTTAAACTGCAACATTAACACCCCTCCTTCAGAGTGCAGGCACTGTACTTCCATCTCAGGACTCAAGTCCGGCCTGCCGGTTTCCCTGAATCCCTTCATAAATGTTACTTTGCTCACACTCCAACAGCACGTCAAGTATTAAAAACCATTTGTCTCCATTCACTCCTATCAAACACGCTCACGCATGCCTGCTGGAAGTCCAAGCCCCTCGCACACAAAACCTCCTTTACCCCTTCCCTCCAACCCTTCCTAGGCCGACCCCTACCCCGCCTTCCTTCCACTACAGACTGATACACTCTTGAAGTCATTCTGTTTCGCTCCATTCTCTCTACATGTCCGAACCACCTCACATTCACTTAACATCTCCCAAAATCTCCCAAAATGTGTAGTGTGAATATAATGCAGAGAATTCGTAGTTTGGAAATTAGAGGTGTGGAATTACCAAAACTATTATCCAGAGGGCTAAGGAGGGGTTGTTGAGGTGGTTCGGATATGTAGAGAGAATGGAACAAAACAGAATGACTTCGAGAGTGTATAAATCTGTAGTGGAGGGAAGGCAGGGTAGGGGTCAGCTTAGGAAGGGTTGGAGGGAGGGGGTAGAGGAGGTTATGTGTGCAAGGGGCTTGGACTTCCAGCAAGCGTGCAGGAGCATATTTTATAGGAATGGAGACAAATGGTTTTTAATATTTGACGTGCTGTTGGAGTGTGAGCAAAGTAACATTTATGAAGGGAGTCAGGGAAACCGGCAGGCCGGACTTGAGTCCTGGAGATGGGAAGTACAGTGTCTACACTCTGAAGGAGGGTGTTAATGTTGCAGTTTTATAACTGTACTGTAAAGCACCCCTCTGGCAAGATGGTGTGGAGTGAATGCTGAAAGTTTTTCTTTTTCGGGCCACCCTGCCTTGGTGGGAATTAGCCGATGTGTTAATAAAAAAATAAAAATGAGGGTGTAGAAATCTGCAGTGGAAAGGAGGTGGAGGGGGTCATCCTAGGAAAGATTGGAGGGAGGGAATAGAGAGACTTTGTATACGAGGGACTTGGACATCCAACAGGGGTGTGTGTGTGTGTGTTAGGAGCGAGTGGAGGCAATTGATTTTTTCATGACTTGATGTACTGTTGGAGTGGGAGCAAGGTAGCATTTATGAAGGAATTCAGGGAAACCGGTTAACCAAACATAAATCCTGAAGGTGAAAAGTACAGTGCCTGCACTCTGAAGGTAGGGGTAGGGATATTGTGGTTTGGAAGGGTAAGTTGTAATGTCAGCATGCCTCTGTCAAGACAGTGATGGAGTGAGTGATGGTGTAAGCATTTCTTCTTTTCTGAGTCGTCCTACATTGGTGGGAGACACTCAATTTGTTAGAAAATATCAATAATGTATCTTATTCTTTTCTATGCACAAACTGAAGATTTGAATTTGTTCCGTTGTTAAAAACTTACAATTTTCTACTAAGCTGATGTGGCCCACAAAACAAAATAATAGCTCACCCTTGCTCTAGATACCTGTAATACACTACTCAAATTTATGTTATCACTTAAGAGCTCACTATAAATTTGTTTCATTGACTGCTTTAAGTGAAGATTTTCACAATAGCCACTGTCCACATGATCAAAATATATGCTGTCATACAGCACTATTAATACCATGTTTATTTGAGTCATATAATTCATGAGAAAGACTCAGTGTCAAGGGTCTAAGCCATAATTCTTTGTAAAAGCTATAGAAAGATCAGTAGTTGATGGATCCTCTTTTAATTGTCAAAGTCTTTATATGATATGAATATAGATCTGACATTTTCCTACAAGTATACAGAAATTAATGTACAACTTCTGGCGGGGAATGTTCTAATAAATAATTTACCATGAAGTCAAGAAACAGAAATCTACATGTATATTTAAAAATAATCATAATTTAAATATTCTACAAAAATAATAAAATGGAAAGCACAGATAAAAAGTAGCTTACCAAAACTGCTAAAAGTAATGACTAAAAATCACAAAAACTCAGCACATATCTTTGGTGGTAAGCAATGAGAAAAAAAAAAGTAAAGTTAATAATATAGAACATGCTAAACTGTGTTACTTTTACTTAAAATAGTATTATTTTGAACAACCTCTCATGGCAATGTACCTGTGCTACAAACACTGCTGGAAATCCAGTGCAATAACACACTTAAAATTCAGTGACTGACGAGACACTCCTGTATTATCAACAGGATAAAATACATTTGACAGATTTTAAAAAAATTATATTAATTACATAATGTTCACATAGTGAACATCTCGACTGTTTCTGATTGTGAAGGATCACTGGGGTCCGTGAAAAGTTGCAATGGTTCAGCTTTAACAATTGAACCTTTGTTACTTAAGCTCTCTGCATTAAAGCCTTCATTTCCAATGTGCGAGTGTTCAGCTGCAAATTGTGCATATTCTTCGTCTATGTCGTCTTGTCCCAAATGAACTTCCTGGAGACCCGATGATACAACAGGGGTAGCAGAAATCATCGATGTTCCATTGGAGGTGATGGTATTGGTTGAGGTAAGGTGTTGCTGAGATGAGATTGAAGTTGTTGCTAAGAATGTGTGTGCAGTAGTAGTAGTAGCAGCAGCAGTGGATGTAGTAGTGTTATCCATCACCACTGGAATGGCATAATACACACCAGTGGTAGCTGAATCTTCACCAGCAACAAGGATGGTGGCACTTCCTGGTACATTGCCTTCCAGCTGATCCATTTGCTCTGCAACCTGTTTAAAAGATTCAATTGCATAAACTAATCATTATGAATAACTTATCATATACACACACAATTTTTCATGCTAAAAGATTATACATGGTTGTGAAACAACATAACAAAATGGCTTTAAATCACTACAAGAAGACTGAGACAAACTAAGTAAGTGGAGTGAATAACAAACAAAGGAATTTAACCTTGGATAAGTACTCAATCATGTAAGGAAAATGAAAGTGGAAAAACAAAGGGCAGCATAATAAAACTGAAGAGATGTAATAAATTGCTGAATTAACCAGACAGAAAAGAAACATTTTAGGAATAATTGCATACAACAAAATGGAAATTAATTTGGCTCATGTAACAATTAGGCACTTAAAAACACAATGTAATCAATGTTTCTACAATAATTTTGTGTTAAATATATACATTTACATATTTTGCAAGAAAAACTAAGTAATACAGCATTTTTCATGTTTAAAAAAATAATTCAGCCTCCCTTACAGCAGGACATGAGATGGAGCAATGTTTTTCCCTGTGTTTCCTTGCAAGATATCACAATATACTTAAAAATACAGTATACACATGCATACATGTAGGGTTAGTGGGAGGGAATGGAGGCTTTAAGTGGTAGGGGGGCTCGAGTCTTCAATTAGGCACCTGTGATTGTGTTAAATCAAAGATGGAACAATTGGTTTTTAGGGAGTAATGTCTTGTTAAGTGTTCACTTTAGCTTAGTGGGGAAATGTATATATAAAGGAGGGGTGTGGACACTAATAGGTTATACTCTCTCAGTTTTCTTATCCTACTCACCTTAAATGCAGATTCAACAATATTTAATTCCTCTTGATCTCTCCGTCTTGGCGTATCTTCTTCTTCTATTTTAACTCCAAGTGTTTCAAATGTTGGCTGAGTTGTATTTGTGCTGCTGGAGACACTTCTGGAAACCGATGAAATTGTTTTACGTATCTCCCGCAATTCTTCTGAACCTTTACGTGTATAGGTCTTAGTCGAAGTTACTGGAGTGGAAGTAGTGGGTTGTGACAGTACCTCTGTTACATTAACCTTATAATAATTTAGAGATGGATCTACTTCCTTCACAACAGGAGGAGGTAGTTCCGGTATTTTGCCTTCCTTTCTTAGTTTTGCAACTCTGGACTTGTACTGATTATTTGTAAGGCCATGTATAGTACTGTAGTGTTCCCTGAGGCCAGCCCTGCCATCCAACATTGCATTACATATTCTGCATGGTGTATTTTGAATTTCTTGCATATTATGCATTGTTCGAAGATGTGTCCGTAGGTGCACCTTCTGCACAAAGCCTTTGGCACAGTAATTACATATAAATGGTCTTTCACCTGTGTGAACTCTGACATGCATTTCAAGCTGACCTTGACTTGGAAAGTTTTTACCACAGATGTAACAATTGAGCCCACCATCTTCCTCATGCATCCGTACCATATGAGACTTCAACGAATCCGTTCGTGTAAACACCTGAAAAAGAGGTACTTCAAAATTTTGTTGGAAATGTGAGACAGTTTTCTATCATACTTTTAACTGGTTTTCTAGTAAGTATCTTATAAGTATCATATATGTGAACAGTATTTAGATAAAGGTAGGGAAGTTTTTATTGCATTTATGGATTTAGAAAAGGCATATGATAGAGTGGATAGAGGAGCAATGTGGCAGATGTTGCAGTATATGGAATAGGTGGTAAGTTACTAAATGCTGTAAAGAGCTTTTATGAGGATAGTGAGGCTCAGGTTAGGGTGTGTAGAAGAGAGGGAGAATACTTCCCGGTAAAAGTAGGTCTTAGACAGGGATGTGTAATGTCACCATGGTTGTTTAATATATTTATAGATGGGGTTGTAAAAGAAGTAAATGCTAGGGTGTTCGGGAGAGGGGTGGGATTAAATTATGGGGAATCAAATTCAAAATGGGAATTGACACAGTTACTTTTTGCTGATGATACTGTGCTTATGGGAGATTCTAAAGAAAAATTGCAAAGGTTAGTGGATGAGTTTGAGAATGTGTGTAAAGGTAGAAAGTTGAAAGTGAACATAGAAAAGAGTAAGGTGATGAGGGTATCAAATGATTTAGATAAAGAAAAATTGGATATCAAATTGGGGAGGAGGAGTATGGAAGAAGTGAATGTTTTCAGATACTTGGGAGTTGACGTGTTGGCGGATGGATTTATGAAGGATGAGGTTAATCATAGAATTGATGAGGGAAAAAAGGTGAGTGGTGCGTTGAGGTATATGTGGAGTCAAAAAACGTTATCTATGGAGGCAAAGAAGGGAATGTATGAAAGTATAGTAGTACCAACACTCTTATATGGATGTGAAGCTTGGGTGGTAAATGCAGCAGCGAGGAGACGGTTGGAGGCAGTGGAGATGTCATGTCTAAGGGCAATGTGTGGTGTAAATATTATGCAGAAAATTCGGAGTGTGGAAATTAGGAGAAGGTGTGGAGTTAATAAAAGCATTAGTCAGAGGGCAGAAGAGGGGTTGTTGAGGTGGTTTGGTCATTTAGAGAGAATGGATCAAAGTAGAATGACATGGAAAGCATATAAATCTATAGGGGAAGGAAAGAAGGGTAGGGGTCGTCCTCGAAAGGGTTGGAAAGAGGGGGTAAAGGAGGTTTTGTGGGTGAGGGGCTTGGACTTCCAGCAAGCGTGCATGAGCGTGTTAGATAGGAGTGAATGGAGACGAATGATACTTGGGACCTGACGATCTGTTGGAGTGTGAGCAGGGTAATATTTAGTGAAGGGATTCAGGGAAACCGGTTATTTTCATATAGTCGGACTTGAGTCCTGGAAATGGGAAGTACAATGCCTGCACTTTAAAGGGGGTTTGGGATATTGGCAGTTTGGAGGGATATGTTGTGTATCTCTATACGTATATGCTTCTAAACTGTTGTATTCTGAGCACCTCTGCAAAAGCAGTGATAATGTGTGAGTGTGGTGAAAGTGTTGAATGATGATGAAAGTATTTTCTTTTTGGGGATTTTCTTTCTTTTTTGGGTCACCCTGCCTCGGTGGGAGACGGCCGACTTGTTGAAAAAAAAAAAAAAGATCTTTTTACATAATCATTTATTAGCACACTGGCTCTCTCACTGAGGTAGGATGGAAATAAAAAAAAATCACCATCATTCATTCAATTGTTGCCTTGCCAGAAGTATGCAAACTGTGGGTGCATCAATGACTGGGAATGTATTCCCTCTTGTTTAGGTAACCCTACCTTAGTAGGAAAAGGCTACTGTGTTACACAAAATAAAAAATATGTAGAGATCTCCTCTTCTTCCTAACTGAAGCCTGTGATTATATAAAATGCTATCCCTAAATGTAATAGGTAATTTTTTTTTTTTTTTTTCAACAAGTCGGTCGTCTCCCACCGAGGCAGGGTGACCCAAAAAAAGAAAGAAAATCCCCAAAAAGAAAATACTTTCATCATCATTCAACACTTTCACCACACTCACACATTATCACTGCTTTTGCAGAGGTGCTCAGAATATAACAGTTTAGAAGCATATACGTATAGAGATACACAACATATCCCTATAAACTGCCAATATCCCAAACCCCTCCTTTAAAGTGCAGGCATTGTACTTCCCATTTCCAGGACTCAAGTCCGACTATATGAAAATAACCGGTTTCCCTGAATCCCTTCACTAAATATTACCCTGCTCACACTCCAACAGATCGTCAGGTCCCAAGTATCATTCGTCTCCATTCACTCCTATCTAACACGCTCATATATATTAGGGTGGCTCACAAAAATGAAGATCTGAAATCTTATAGACTTGCCCCATCACTATGATCCCAAGAAAAAACAATCTAAGCAAAATTTAGAAAATATTAGGGTTCATTTAGGGGTGCTCCAATTACCTTAAAATATCATCCCCATAAAACAAGCTTTCCCATTATCTTTCTAGGAAAAAGGAAGTCAAGAACAACAAAAACTGCTTGTTTGAGATGTGGCTGATGTGTTACAAAAATTAATAATATATTAATAGATGAGGAAATCTGATTGTGATGTCAACACACTCCTGAAAAGACAGTAACTGAATGAATGTTGGTGAACATGTTTTCTTCTTGTGATCACAACGCCAAGGTGGGAGACAACTGTCAAGGAAGAAGTAACAATAAACAGGAATTTCCATTTTGTAGGAGTAAAAAATTTTGTTGGGGCACCTCTAAATGAAGTTCAATCCTAGGATGGGACTAAATACATACATGCATTTGTAAATACAAATATAAACACAAAAATTTATTTTTGTATTTTATTTGTATTTGGAAAAAACTAAATTCATGTATTTGTATTTGATACTTGTATGTGCTGTATTTGCTTCAAATGCAATATCAAGATTGCTTTTCTTATTCAAAATATGGCAATCACTAACTTGATCTAATTATAACTTGGAAACTTTTATAAATAATATCTAAGTTGGTAACGCTGTATTGAAGGCTGAGCTTGTACTGAATCTGTCATAAACCTAACTGTCTATTGTTCAACAACTGCCGAGGATAACAAAAACAATATGATAACAGGGTTGGCGTTTCATTTTTATTCATATATCCTATGATATTTGCAGTCATCCTTCTGTAACTCCTCAACAACTGAAATGACCACCTGAGTAGCAGCAGCCCTCACTGGAAAGTGTGTCAAGGTTTCCAGCAAACAATGAGCACACACAATGATCCGTCAAGAAGAAGCATCAAGCAAGTTCAATGCCTTCATTGCCGATAGCCTTCAACTACTGCCACTGGTCAAGTGCCAACTTTGCCGTTACTAGTTCAGTAACTCAAGTTTCAATTACTTAATATCTAGCTGCAATTATTTAAGTGCCACCTCTTTCCTAATGCATCACAGGTCACCATAAGCAACTCAGTCAAGTCAAGTCTGTCAGTTTGACAGCCAATATCTGGTGAAATCGTCACATATACTCTTTTTTTTTTTTTTTTTTTTTTTTTTTAGCAAGTTGGCTGTCTCCCACCGAGGCAGGGTGACCCAAAAAGAAAGAAAATCCCCAAAAAGAAAATACTTTCATCATCATTCAACACTTTCACCTCACTCATACATAATCACTGTTTTTGCAGAGGTGCCCAGAACACAACAGTTTAAAAGCACATACACCTACCATCCGACTTACGACCTGCTCGACATACCACCACTCGACTTACAACCATGTTTTTTATGCCAAATTTCTGGGAAATAAACAACTGTTTGTGTTGTACACAGTGTTTATCCTAAACCTTACAGTATAAAATACATTACTAACAACATAAAAAGTAAAGTAAAAAATGAAATACCAAAATAAAAATAAAATAAAGTCATTACAAAAATGTGATGTTGATATTCAGTAGCAAGGTTCGACTTATGTCCATTTCGACTTACGACCGGTTGGTCGAAACCAAGCTCGGTCGTAAGTCGGATGGTACCTGTACGTGTAAAGATATACAGTGTATCCCTCCAAACTGCCAATATCCCAAACCCCTCCTTTAAAGTGCAGGCATTGTATTTCCCATTTCCATTACTCAAGTCCGGCTATATAAAAATACAGTGGACCCCCGCATAGCGATTTTAATCCGTGCAAGAAGGCTCATTGTTATGCGAAATGATCGGTATGCGAATGAATTTTCCCCATAAGAAATAATGGAAATCAAATTAATCCATGCAAGACACCCAAAAGTATGAAAAAAAAATTTTTACCACATGAAATATACATTTTCCCACACACAAAGAGAAGGATACATGCACAATAGTAGAGTAGTACATGCACAATATATATTGTGCATGTACTACTCTACTAAATGAAGAATAAATGACACTTACCTTTATTGAAGATGCAGCAATGACTGATGAGACACTGTGTCCTGGGAGTGCCTTTTCCTCCTGAGTACTGTAGGTCCTGTTTGGCATTTTCTTCCAGAACAGGCCTTATCACACTGTGTATGCCACTACGATTCTTAAATCTCTCAAACCAACCTTTGCTGGCTTTAAATTCACCAATATGAGCACTAGTTCCAGGCATTTTTCCCTGTTCACCTGGGTGTTAGTCGACTGGTGTGGGTTGCATCCTGGGAGACAAGATTAAGGACCCCAATGGAAATAAGTTAGTCTTCGATGACACTGACTTTTTTGGGTTATCCTGGGTGGCAAATCCTCTGGGGTTAATTGTTTCTTGGTATTCTCAATAAGCCACACCAACAACGGTGCTACAGCAGCAGCAGCAGCTGACAGTGATACAGCAGCAGCAGACGATGCTACAGCAGCAGCAGACGGTACTACAGCAGCAGCAGACGGTACTACAGCAGCAGCTGATGGTGGTACAACAGCAGCAGCAGCTGACAGTGCTACAGCAGCAGCAGACGATGCTACAGCAGCAGCAGACGGTACTACAGCAGCAGCAGACGGTACAACAGCAGCAGCAGCAGCAGCAGCAGCAGCTGACGGTGGTGCAGCAGCAGCTGACAGTGCTACAGTAGCAGCAGACGATGCTACAGCAGCAGCAGACGGTACTACAGCAGCAGCAGACGGTACTACAGCAGCAGCAGCTGACGGTGGTACAACAGCAGCAGCAGTTGACAGTGCTACAGCAGCAGCAGATGATGCTACAGCAGCAGCAGACGATGCTACAGCAGCAGCAGACGATGCTACAGCAGCAGCAGACGGTACTACAGCAGCAGCAGCAGCAGCAGCTGACAGTGCAGCAGCAGCTGACGGTGGTACAGCAGCAGCAGCAGCTGTACCACCAATAGTAGCGATGGTTGATTGGGGTTTATTATACAACCTGGCCAGCTCGGAGACACGCACTCCACTTTCATACTTATCAATGATCTTTTTCTTCATCTCTATAGTAATTCTCACCCTTATTGCTGTAGGGTTGGCACTAGAAGCTTTCTTGGGGCCCATGGTCACTTATTTTGCAGATAAAATCACCAAAAACACTGTAATAATACGAAATGTTCCGATTGTATGCTTGGATGTTACCGCGGAGGCTGGTTGGTAAACAATGCCACCGGCGGCACATGTGAGGCTGGCTAAGGGCGCACATTGGACGCGTCTCGGATGAACAGCGGTGAGCGGGTTTTTGAGCGGTATGCGAGGCAAAATTTTTGCGATAAAAGCGAGCGGTATGCGGATTAAACGTTATGTGATGCCAACGGTATGCGGGGGGTCCACTGTAACCGGTTTCCCTGTTCATGGAAAGCAGTCCATCAGTCAATGCCACACAACTAACACAGAAATTAACTCCTGCTGCAGCATACCAGGTTGACAAGTACCTGGCTCTACCCAGTTTAACAGAATATTACAGTACATTAAAATTCTAAGAGCAACAATCCATCTATTCCCCATACATAGCAGAGATAAGGCTAATACTGATTTTACTACTCGCAGAATCTCTACCTTAAAAAGTACTGACACATCATATTTAGCTATTCTTTGGTGGTTTAACAAGAGGATATGGATAACAGTGCCCTTGTTTAGTAAATGGTTCTAGCTCTACTTTATACCAAAGTTTATTTATTCTTAAAATGCCCTATATCATCCTGTCAAAATGCTGCAGAAGTTTGAACCAAATATGAAGGAAGTATATTTTACCACCACCTGACCTCATTAATACAACCTCTAGATTGAGAAGTTAAAAAAAACTTTCAAGTACAAACACAGAGGTTGGCATTAAGGACTTCAAGCGTTGGCTTGTCAAGGAATAAAGCAGAGCATCTAGTCTAAATGCAAAGTGGCAAAAATTATGTGTTGCTGTGAATTATTTTAATGGTTTTTTATGCCATCAGGTAATGACAATTGTGAGGGCAGTGAGGGTTCTGAAGATATGACAACAGACGAACTGTGGAATGTACACAGGTACAGGCTTGAGAGTCACAAAGCACTTATGCCAACATGAAAATATGAGTCACTGTGGAATGTACACATGTACAGGCTTGAGAGTCACAAAGCACTTATGCCAACATAAAAATATGAGTCAAAGAATGTTTACCTTCTGACAAACAGGACAAGTAAGGTTACTAGATTCTTCGTGGTCATTAACTAGGTGTTGGTGTAGTACGTGGCGCTGAGGGAAGGTTTCATCACAGTATGGACATGGAATATCCTTTACTTCTAAGTGAGATTTCATGTGAACACGCAAAGTTGTAATAGACCTGGAAAGCCAAGAAATTCTTATTCAAAATGTATTTATTCTTCTTCAGCATTAATTTCTAATATAGTAACACTATTTCATTTTTTGTAATGTGGAGTTATTAAATTCTGTACATGGGTGAAAACTAAACTACAATTAAAAAAAATAAAACTCATTTTCAGAATGGTCTTGATACCAAAAGAAAAGATGGTATGAATGTGACAAACATTTGTACTGATAACATGGTTCTGTTAGGTTAAAGTCATAGTAAACCAATGAAAGACCATTGTGTACAGTTATACATTCTTACTGTAGTTTGATACACAAAGAAGTGTTTTGCATAAATCAAGAGGCATAAACAGGATGGTACAGATGTGATCAGAGCCAAAACTAAGTGTTACATGCAATACACACTGGAGTTAGAGACATCCACTTACAGAATAATGTTTAGTAATGAACTAAAATTCGACTATACAGGTGTGTCTGGCATTATGTAGATGTATGTTTGGCCCATGACAGTTGTTGTACTAAGCTCAAACCAGCCATCAACACTATCCAATTCCTCAAAACATGAGTCTTCAAAACATTTTGGTAACCACATCAATTGTGTATGGCATTGTATGGTATATAAAAAATATGAAATCAGTGATAAAACATGCATAGAGCAACACGCATGAAGAAACGGAAACCTGCTTTTTAAAAATAAAATATAACCTGCCATGAAGCTCGTATACCATACTCAATGTTTAAAAGTAATTTGGAAGATTACATTTATTATCTGTACAAATGTGAGGATTCTTTTAACAGCAATTTTTAAGAAAGTCAATTAATTATGTATGTATTGCTAAGAAAAAAGTAAATGAACAAAAATTAGTATTTTTTTTATTATCACACCGGCCGATTCCCACCAAGGCAGGGTGGCCCGAAAAAGAAAAACTTTCACCATCATTCACTCCATCACTGTCTTGCCAGAAGGGTGCTTTACACTACAGTTTTTAAACTGCAACATTAACACCCCTCCTTCAGAGTGCAGGCACTGTACTTCCCATCTCCAGGACTCAAGTCCGTCCTGCCGGTTTCCCTGAATCCCTTCATAAATGTTACTTTGCTCACACTCCAACAGCACGTCAAGTATTAAAAACCATTTGTCTCCATTCACTCCTATCAAACACGCTCACGCATGCCTGCTGGAAGTCCAAACCCCTCGCACACAAAACCTCCTTTACCCCCTCCCTCCAACCCTTCCTAGGCCGACCCCTACCCCGCCTTCCTTCCACTACAGACTGATACACTCTTGAAGTCATTCTGTTTCGCTCCATTCTCTCTACATGTCCGAACCACCTCAACAACCCTTCCTCAGCCCTCTGGACAACAGTTTTGGTAATCCCGCACCTCCTCCTAACTTCCAAACTACGAATTCTCTGCATTATATTCACACCACACATTGCCCTCAGACATGACATCTCCACTGCCTCCAGCCTTCTCCTCGCTGCAACATTCATCACCCACGCTTCACACCCATATAAGAGCGTTGGTAAAACTATACTCTCATACATTCCCCTCTTTGCCTCCAAGGACAAAGTTCTTTGTCTCCACAGACTCCTAAGTGCACCACTCACTCTTTTTCCCTCATCAATTCTATGATTCACCTCATCTTTCATAGACCCATCCGCTGACACGTCCACTCCCAAATATCTGAATACGTTCACCTCCTCCATACTCTCTCCCTCCAATCTGATATTCAATCTTTCATCACCTAATCTTTTTGTTATCCTCATAACCTTACTCTTTCCTGTATTCACCTTTAATTTTCTTCTTTTGCACACCCTACCAAATTCATCCACCAATCTCTGCAACTTCTCTTCAGAATCTCCCAAGAGCACAGTGTCATCAGCAAAGAGCAGCTGTGACAACTCCCACTTTGTGTGTGATTCTTTATCTTTTAACTCCACGCCTCTTGCCAAGACCCTCGCATTTACTTCTCCTACAACCCCATCTATAAATATATTAAACAACCCCACGGTGACATCACACATCCTTGTCTAAGGCCTACTTTTACTGGAAAAAATTCCCTCTTTCCTACATACTCTAACTTGAGCCTCACTATCCTCGTAAAAACTCTTCACTGCTTTCAGTAACCTACCTCCTACACCATACACTTGCAACATCTGCCACATTGCCCCCCTATCCACCCTGTCATATGCCTTTTCCAAATCCATAAATGCCACAAAGACCTCTTTAGCCTTATCTAAATACTGTTCACTTATATGTTTCACTGTAAACACCTGGTCCACACACCCCCTACCTTTCCTAAAGCCTCCTTGTTCATCTGCTATCCTATTCTCCGTCTTACTCTTAATTCTTTCAATTATAACTCTACCATACACTTTACCAGGTACACTCAACAGACTTATCCCCCTATAATTTTTGCACTCTCTTTTATCCCCTTTGCCTTTATACAAAGGAACTATGCATGCTCTCTGCCAATCCCTAGGTACCTTACCCTCTTCCATACATTTATTAAATAATTGCACCAACCACTCCAAAACTATATCCCACCTGCTTTTAACATTTCTATCTTTATCCCATCAATCCCGGCTGCCTTACCCCCTTTCATTTTACCTACTGCCTCACGAACTTCCCCCACACTCACAACTGGCTCTTCCTCACTCCTACAAGATGTTATTCCTCCTTGCCCTATACACGAAATCACAGCTTCCCTATCTTCATCAACATTTAACAATTCCTCAAAATATTCCTTCCATCTTCCCAATACCTCTAACTCTCCATTTAATAACTCTCCTCTCCTATTTTTAACTGACAAATCCATTTGTTCTCTAGGCTTTCTTAACTTGTTAATCTCACTCCAAAACTTTTTCTTATTTTCAACAAAATTTGTTGATAACATCTCACCCACTCTCTCATTTGCTCTCTTTTTACATTGCTTCACCACTCTCTTAACTTCTCTCTTTTTCTCCATATACTCTTCCCTCCTTGCATCACTTCTACTTTGTAAAAACTTCTCATATGCTAACTTTTTCTCCCTTACTACTCTCTTTACATCATCATTCCACCAATCGCTCCTCTTCCCTCCTGCACCCACTTTCCTGTAACCACAAACTTCTGCTGAACACTCTAACACTACATTTTTAAACCTACCCCATACCTCTTCGACCCCATTGCCTATGCTCTCATTAGCCCATCTATCCTCCAATAGCTGTTTATATCTTACCCTAACTGCCTCCTCTTTTAGTTTATAAACCTTCACCTCTCTCTTCCCTGATGCTTCTATTCTCCTTGTATCCCATCTACCTTTTACTCTCAGTGTAGCTACAACTAGAAAGTGATCTGATATATCTGTGGCCCCTCTATAAACATGTACATCCTGAAGTCTACTCAACAGTCTTTTATCTACCAATACATAATCCAACAAACTACTGTCATTTCGCCCTACATCATATCGTGTATACTTATTTATCCTCTTTTTCTTAAAATATGTATTACCTATAACTAAACCCCTTTCTATACAAAGTTCAATCAAAGGGCTCCCATTATCATTTACACCTGGCACCCCAAACTTACCTACCACACCCTCTCTAAAAGTTTCTCCTACTTTAGCATTCAAGTCCCCTACCACAATTACTCTCTCACTTGGTTCAAAGGCTCCTATACATTAGTACAGCACATAAAACAAAAATGCATAAACTGGTACTCTGTAAATAAAACAAACATTTGAGAGATGATGAGTTGCTACTAACCGGAACTCTTTGCCACACTCTTCACATGGTATACCACTCTCTTCCTCAGTTGACCTAGGCTGTGAACGTCTACCAGGTCTTTTGGTGTTGTAATTTGTTTTCTTTTTGATGACTGGAAACTCCATTACCTGTAGTAAGATAAAAAAACTCATAAGGGATAAATCAGGTTAACAAATAAAGACTGCATTGTTTTCTCTCCCATTTTAAGTCACGTTAGATTTATTCAGTAATGATTCATCGCAAATATTCTCAGAATAATGATTCTGGACAGTACCACAAAAAGCAAATACAGAACAAACAAATTCTATGCTCTAGAGAAAGGAATGATTCCTTTTCCTGACAGTTATAGATTCAGTAGAAATCCTCAATGTGATAGAAACTGCCGACATTTTACCATTTAACATCAAAAACTTAATAAAATGAAAATGAAACAATAAACCTAAACTGAAAACTTAATTAGTTTAGTCTTTTAACCTAATGTTGGTTTTTTTTTTTTTTTTACTGTTTCATTCTTAAAGACATATTAGCAGAGATTCTTGAAATAATCACTGTCCTAGGTGAGCTAAATTTTTTATGTCTTCAGGGCCAAAACAGAATCCTTCCTTTTCATACTAATCATAAAGGGCCCCATCACATTTGTTGGTAACCAAATATAAATTGTCAAGCAAACAAAACAGACATGAATGAGGACATAAAAATGCAGCCTCTTACAATAACTAATGAGGTAACTGAGGGTGAGAGATGAGTGGAGGTCACTGCAAGTAAACAAACCATACTATGGGCAGGACTAGAACTCACAGTCAGAGAACCATATAACTCCAGACCGACATATTCTATCCCCGCCCGTGGTATGGTTTGTTTGCAATCGTGTCATTATGATTTCATGAGTCCCTGTTAATAAGTGAGGGAGGTGCCTGATATATGATCGGCCTCAGTAACATTGCCCACTGGCTGTCTAGCACAGGAGAAAATTACGAAACATTGAAATTCGTTGATTTATTTTGTGTTTTTTGCTCTACTATTCTTCTTGCAGACACTATCACTCTACCCACATCTTGTTTTTGACCACATCATCTCCCACTAGAGTAATGATACATAAAAACAGAAAACATTCATTATTTCTTGCCAGAAGTGTGTGTAAGAACATTTTAGCAATCAACATACCAGTGAACAACCCCTTAATGAAAAAAAAAATCCTAGACAGTTTCCCACTACTGATATTAAATGACTTCTGGTAGTATATTTAAAAAAAAAAAAAAAAATTCTATCTTCAACTTAATTCAAAGCACATTATATACATCCCTGAAACATTATCACTTTGTGAGAATATTCTTCGGTTTTAGTACTACACATACAGTAGTCTAATTATATTTTCAAGATTAAGAACTGAAATCTTCAGAAAATTAATCTGTAATACCCTTATGGAACATTAAGATGAAGTAACAGAAATGTTTACAGCTCATACCCTTTATGCAAAACTGAGAGAACACCTTACAGAAATTAACTTAGCCTAGCATAATCTCAAAATTAAATGAGCTAAGAGTTAAGTCCCTGTGAAATTCAATTTTTAAGAGCATTAACTTTTCAAAGAATAGTAATGATAATACTAAAATTTAAGGAAAACTTGACTAGGCCACCTTTGCAGGTTTAAAAAATTTTTGTAAGATATTAACCCTCCTCCCCTCCCTATTTTCAGGAAATGGAGCACATTTAATTACAGAAATAGGTACCTTTTGAATGGCTCTTGAGTCATGAAGAAGCATTTTCAACTTTTAAAATAAATTTACTTCTGTTCCAGTGTTAAAGTTTCAAGATTTTGTCAACGTTTTACTACCCAGTATACAGGTTTAGGAGCAGTGTTATCATAAAAGACAGTGGGTAGACAATATACAACTGCTTTTGCTAGTAAATCTCTGACAAAACCACAAAAAATGATATGAACTTACAAGCAAAACTTATAAATTATGTCACATTTTTATGACATAATTTATATTGGCTCTGAAAATGTACTACAGTATATCATGTATTAGTAATAGCAACCGTTAAGCATAAAGCTCTAGTTGAAAATTTGCCAGATGGTGTCTCACAATGAATATATACACCTAACATTATCTCTGTACCTGGAAAACAGACTTTGGTAGCTAATGCATTATCATGACATGATGGTGTAACTAACGGCAATTACCCTTCAATTGCTGATAAAAATACCAAGAGCTCAGAAAGAAGATCCACTTTAGTCTTGTGTAATTATGTTCCTTACCTAGTAATGAATCAAAGATTATTGTATCATGTGGAAAGATTGGGAACTACAGTACTGCCATGACTTGACACCAGTAAGGAGTTTCTAAGGCTTTGCAACCCGTAGTTATGAAACTGGTCATGATGGCCCAAGTAGCATTCACCTGGGAAAGGACCATTCCTTAAAGCAAGCTACATTTAAGAATTATTTGCTTAGAATGGCTAAAGATTTTGCAAAAATATGTAGAATTTTTTTATTGCGTATGTTACACAAAAAGATACACTGTTCAGTCTAACCCTATGCATACACAGTATACCCAGTCACAAGTAAACTACAGGAACATCTCTTCAAATCTACTGATAAATATTTTAAGTCTAGGAAACAAGAATTTGTTGATAATAATGGACAACTTTTCAAAACAGAAATATAAACTAGACTCAATATCTAATAAGGAAGTAGAAACTCTAGTGGTGAGTACAATGACACTTTACTACACTAACCAAAATTGGTTAGCAAAATTTTTGAGCCAAAAAAAGTCATAAATGTTTTATGCATAACTAAGTATTTTATAGGTTTACTCAGAGTGAGGCAATCCCAGACATGCAGTGCACTAACAATTCCTCAGTATTTCAACACTTTATTCTTTAAGGTGGGGTTAACAGATTGACTTTTTATTTATTATAATCATACCCAGCACCGACTTGTAAACCTGATCACTTGTGCAAAGCATAATTAACCCTTTGACTGTTTCGGTCGTATATATACGTCTTACGAGGTACCGTGTTTGACGTATATACAGTGGTCCCTGAATAATCGTCCGGCCTGAAAGTCGTCCATTTCGGAAATAGTCCTGTTTTTTCGCCAAAATATTGGCTTGCAAATGGTCAGGTAACTCGCTAATAGTCCTTCGTCCCGGACGCGTACTCACGCTCTGAGCCGCCTCGGCCTTTCCTTCCCAGCCAGTGTGCCATTGTTTACCAGTGAGCGATGGTCCCCTCACGTGCTCCAGTGAAATATTTCATATTCCATTTATTTTAGTGCTTGCAAGTTATTTAAGTGCTAAATAAGCTACCATGGCTCCAAAGAAAGCTCCTAGTGCCAAGCCTTTGGTAAAGGTGAGAAATACGATTGAATTTAAGAAAAACATCACTGAACAATATGATAGTGGTGAACGTGTGGGCGAACTGGCCAGGATGTATAACAAATCCCATACAACCATATCTTCCATCATAGCCAAGAAAAAGGAAATCAAGGACGCTGTTGTTGCAAAGGGGGTAAATATGCTGACAAAAATGAGATCACCAGTACTCGAAGATGTTGAGAAGTTATTATTGGTGTGGATAAATGAGAAACAATTAGCAGGAGATAGTCTTATGACGTCGCTTATTTGTGAAAAGGCTAGGCAGTTGCATGACGATTTGGTAAAGAAACTGCCTGCAACTAGTAGTTATGTGAGTGAATTTAAGGCCAGCAAAGTTTTAAAGAGACGCCAGAAACAGAGCTCTCTAGACAGTTTTTTTGCGAGACAGGACTCCAGTGACTCTCAAGGTGGTCCTAGTGGCATTAAGAAACAGAGAAGTAACCCCAGAAAAGGAATTGGTACCCGAGGTGTTGATGGAAGGGGATTCCCCTTCCAAACAGTAAATCATCCAATCTGTCTCCTTCTCCAGTCTTCCATACACAAAGAAGAATTGCCAATAAAGGTAAGTGTTATTCTGTTAATGTTTAATTCATCATGTGCCACTGTATTGTTTATGTACTACATCTATATTTCATGTAAAAAATTTTTTTGTTTTAATACTTCTGGGTGTCAGGAACGGATTAATTGAATTTACATTATTTCTTATGGGGAAAATTGATTCGTAAATCGTCCATTTCGATAATAGTCCCACTTCCAGGAACGGATTATGGACGATTATTGAGGGACCACTGTATATGTACTCTAATTCTAGCGGCTTCAAATCAAGCAGGAAAAAGCTGGTAGGCCCACATGTGAGAGAATGGGTCTGTGTGGTCAGTGTGCACCATATAAAAAAAATCCTGGAGCACGCAGTGCATAATGAGAAAAAAAAAAACTCAGACCGTTTTTTTTTAATTAAAATGCCGACTTTGTGGTCTATTTTTGTATAGTATTTATGATTGTATTCTCATTTTTTTGGTCTCATTTGATAGAATGGAAAACATATTATAGAAATAGGGGTGATTTTGATTGATTTTACTATAAAAAAGACCTGGAAATGGAGCTCAAATTAGGGGAAATGTTTGATTATTGCCTATGTTCAAAAGTAAGCAAATGATGTCATTGTCCAATAAATGTCCAACTAGTCATTCTAATATGCAGTCATGAATGGATTAATGTTATTTATACAATTATTACAGTATTGCAGTAATCTGCATAACAGGAAATCTTCTATTTTTTGTTTGAATAAAAATTCAAAATAGAAAGCAAGAGTAATATCAGAGGGGCCTGGAGACGTGACTGATGAACAAAGAAAATGTTATTTTAGAGCCAGGAATGTCTGCATTGTTCATTCTGGACCTTATTTTGAAATTGTCATATTTTTTAATTTTCGTGAAATTGGCCAAATTGCAAATTTCTGACTATGTTATTGGGTAGTTGAAATCGGTAAATGGGCAGTTTCTTGTACTCAATCGATAGAAAAAACAGCGTTCTAAAGATATAGCCATAAGTCTGGTCGACTGGAACAATGGAATTAGCCAAAAATAGGGCTCAAAGTGGGCGAAATCGCCGATTTGTAAATATCGCCGAGGTCGCTAACTTCGCAAGAGCGTAATTCCGTCAATTTTCCATCAAATTTCGTTTTTTTTTTGGTGTCATTACAATCGGGAAAAGATTCTCTATCATTTCACAAGAAAAAATAAAAATTT